GGTCAAACGCGGTGGGGGGGCTGACAGTTGGATTGGGGGGGAGCGAGCGAAGCGAGCGGGAGGGGCAAAGCCCCTCGGGTTTGGCGAGCGAAGCGACCAGGGGGCGAAGCACAAGGTCGGGGGGTTAGAAGGGAGGAGGGGGTCCCAGGGTCAAACGCGGTGGGGGGGCTGACAGTTGGATTGGGGGGGAGCGAAGCGAGCGAGGGGGCGAAGCCCCCGGGGTTGGCGAGCGAAGCGAGCAGGGGGCGAAGCACAAGGTCGGGGGGATTAGAAGGGAGGAGGGTGTCCCAGGGTCAAACGCGGTGGGGGGGCTGACAGTTGGATTGGGGGGGAGCGAAGCGAGCGAGGGGGCGAAGCCCCCGGGGTTGGCGAGCGAAGCGAGCAGGGGGCGAAGCCCCCTAGTACACAATAAACAAATAATATTCAAATAAATTATCGCCTTGATTTTCAATTTCAATGAATACTCTACCTGAGAATGTGCATCATGACAAAGATGATCAGCACTCCTTGACAATTCTGGCACCATACTCGTAAAACTTATATCAGAGAGCATGACCCTTCTGGCTTCACTCCTCGTTTTGTCCGATATTCTCAATCTACCAGCAACTCCAGCCGGAAGTGCAAATTTACTGGGCAATGTTGTAAATGTGTGGGCCACTTTGTGGGCAAGATAACTCTCAGAGCGCCATTGTGCAGGAAGCGCTGAGATGTCTGTTTGAGCACCGGATTCGCGTCTTGCACCGCAACTGCGATCCATAACTGGGCGCAGAGGGGCTGAACTCTTTCGTCTACCCGCGGCAACAGCCTCCCGATGAATAATGGGTCTGCGGGGTAAAATGGTAATCCTTCGTTCATGACAGTGAGAAATCTAGGATTGTCTTTGGAATTAAAATAATTCATTCAGAGGATTTTTTTTTTATTTAAAGTTCTCAACTCTGAATTGAATTATTTACACTGCCGTTTATTACAACAATATTGGGTGTAGCCCCTCGCCTATAACAGTTACTGTTTTAGCATATTTCATAGCCTCCTAATTTTTCGTCCTTTCAGCATAACATTTTTTTTTATATATTCTTTTTTTTAACGTTATTTTACATCGCTTCGACCTGGTTAGGGTATACTGCCATGATGATCAAGACTTTAAATGGGTAGATCGCACCATTCTATCCGGCCAGGATTTGAACTCGGAATCTTTCGCGTGTGAGGCAACGAACTTACTGCGCCAAGCCACCGGGCTATTAAAAAAAAAAAAAAAAAAAAAAAAAAAAAAAAAAAAAAAAAAAAAAAAAAAAAAAAAAAAAAAAAAAAAAAAAAAAAAAAAAAAAAAAAAAAAAAAAAAAANTTTAATTCCCAGGATTGACGAGTTTCAGGCGAACAAAACTCTTGTTTAATTTTTCTTTACATTCATTTCAACATTTCTTCTTGTTGAAAGTGGATAACTCTTTCGACTGAAACATTGAACCATTTTATTCCAATAGCTGTATAAACCATAGGTTTTGTGCTCAATAAAAAAAAAAATTCATTCCAATGAGAATGCAAACGAAAAAAAACATACCTGTAAGCTGTAGGTGGTGCAGCCAGTGTATTTCTCCTCGCAGCATTGTGCCTAGTGCCACTATCAGTCTCTTCAACAACCCCACACTTGCTGATATCAGTTTCCACAAGAACTGAGCACTGCGACCAAATTTTATTGAGTCTCGTGTTGGAGCTCTCGTCAAACCTATCAACACTCTCCTCCCTGTCGATGGAGGAGCTCTGGGAGGACAGGGCCTCCTCCACGGAGCTAGTTCCCGTTTTTTCCCCATTGCAAACAGTCGGCTCATCACTGGACTTGGTGTACTTGAGGAGAACTGGCTGCGCCTGCTGCCAGGTCTCCCCCTCCGTGATGGAGACGAGGTCCTCCTGGAGGGCCACGTCTCTGCTGCAGGTCTCATCAGTCGTGAATATCAACTCTATATCGTCAAGTTCCTCAGACTCATTCTCAGACTCGGCGTTTTTCACCTCAGGGGTCAGTTGCTGGAGATTGCTGCAGTCTGGATTGTCACTGAATACCGAATTATCACCGTCCGAGACACTCCGGAGGCTTATGTCCTCCGGGTCCTTCTCGGGGACCTCCAGGAGGTCTTGGGAGGGATTCTCCTCTTTCGGAGGACTTTTCTCCACCGATTCCACAACCTCCCGTGGACTATTCGCCCCTTCCTTATCCGCATTCTCCTTAATTTCAGGGGCTGACGAATCAGCCTCGTCCATTGTCGTTTTAACTTCTGAAGGACTGATGTTTAAACTGTGTTAATTGTCTTGGTAAATTTTAAACCGCGTTAATTGTCCCCAATGGACTTTTATTGTTTCGTGTTTATTGCCAACTTCCACGGAAAAACTAAAATAATGGGGGCTTTTTCTTTTGGGGGAGATAAAATGAAACTAAAACACTCACTGTTCACTTATTAAATGGACTGGTGTAGGTGGATTAGCATTGGACGTCGACGCCGGTCCGGGAGTGACTGGCGTGTCATCGTTAATGCTGGGGTTATTATCTTTGTCGAGTATACGTCGACGGAGTACGTGATTCTCCAGTGACAGGCGTTCAACAGCCTCGGCGTAATTTTCGGTACGAAAATCACCGACTATTTCGCGGAGTCTTCGGAGCTCGGCTCGGGATGAGTCTAATGCACTTCGCAGGGATATTACCGTCTGTATTGCGAGAAAATTGAGAATTAAAATTGCGGAGGGGGTGCTGCAGCTTGGGATGAGCAGTGACAAGGGGGTGAGTGCCCTCCAAACTCGGTTTAACTTGATACTCGAATGGATTCGCGATTACAAAGCGAGGGTTCTTCAAACTCGTGGATGGTGCACAAAGGGTAATGAATGGGGGAGGAATTTGAGGTTTTTTCAACAGCTGTTGACTTCTTCGCGAGGGAAATGCTGTTGGAGTTGGAGGGACTGGCAAAGGGATAACTTTGCGTTGTTGGTTCTCACACAAAAAGGGATGGGAAAATCTGGAAGACGGCTTAACAAATTGGTTCATCTGGGAGAAATCTGGTGAAATTAATTTGAGATGATTTGGAGAGGATGAACATTTTTAATGAGTGTTTAAAGATGCGAGGTGGGGGCGCGGCCATTTTTAGTGCCCCTCGCGGAAGCAAAATGGCGGCCTCACCTGTCCATTTCTTTAAATTATTCATCTACCCAAATCACTTTCAATTTGTTTCTCATGGTGCTAGAGAAAGAACTAATTTTTCAGGATATCCTTCAGATGTTTCCATTTTTCAATCGTTAATGAATGGGGGAGGAATTTGAGGTTTTTTCAACAGCTGTTGACTTCTTCGCGAGGGAAATGCTGTTGGAGTTGGAGAGGTTGGCCAAGGGATAACTTTGCGCTGTTGGTTCTCACACAAAAAGGGATGGGAAAATCTGGAAGACGGCTTAACAAATTGGTTCATCTGGGAGAAATCTGGTGAAATTAATTTAAGATTATTTGGAGAGGATAAACATTTTTAATGAGTGTTTAAAGATGCGAGGTGGGGGCGCGGCCATTTTTAGTGCCCCTCGCGGAAGCAAAATGGCGGCCTCACCTGTCCATTTCTTTAAATTATTCATCCACCCAAATCACTTTCAATTTGTTTCTCATGGTGCTAGAGAAAGAACTAATTTTTCAGGATATCCTTCAGATGTTTCCATTTTTCAATCGTTAATGAATGGGGGAGGAATTTGAGGTTTTTTCAACAGCTGTTGACTTCTTCGCGAGGGAAATGCTGTTGGAGTTGGAGAGGTTGGCAAAGGGATAACTTTGCGCTGTTGGTTCTCACACAAAAAGGGATGGGAAAATCTGGAAGACGGCTTAACAAATTGGTTCATCTGGGAGAAATCTGGTGAAATTAATTTAAGATTATTTGGAGAGGATAAACATTTTTAATGAGTGTTTAAAGATGCGAGGTGGGGGCGCGGCCATTTTTAGTGCCCCTTGCGGAAGCAAGATGGCGGCCTCACCTGTCAACCACCTCGAATGTTTGAAGATTTCTTTAAATGATTCATCTTCCCCAAATCACATTCAACTCGTTTCATCCAGTAGCCAGAGAAAGAACCAATTTTCCAGGATTTTTTTTCCTCCACATTATTTCATCCCCACTCAATCGTCAATAACTCGAGAACGGCGGAGTACAATTTCCCAATTTTTTTTTCATTTTCAAGGTATTTTTTTCAGCTTCAAAATGAGATACTGACGATTAAGCGCATCCATGTTTTCACCAACACTTCAATGGTAAAATGCTCCCATTAATTTTTCATCGGTAGTTCAGTGGTAGTATTCTCACAGGTAAACAATGCAATAACACCCAGAAAATAGTGCACTCCCACTCCCCAATCGTAACCAAGTGCACAAGGGCGTGAAATGAAAGGTTATGCAATGAGTGAATGGATTTTGTATCGAAATTGATCGATTTGCGCACCTGGTGTAGAGCTCTTACGACATCGAGGCCGGGGATTCCCGGCGAGGGCAGGGCAAGCTGATGCTGGTGATGGTGGTGGTGGAGCCCCTGATGAGCCAGACGGCCGCCTTCAGCTTCCATCCCTCCCCGCCGGCTGTTCCTACCAAACCATCACCACCACCACAATTCATTCCGATGTATTCGTATGTTTTTTCGCTCTGCGCGTTATTCCTCAATGACTCCCGTATCTCCCCTTTTATCTCCCCACTCACATCACCGGACAGAGCGTCAATAGTTCATCAAATAAAATAAAACAATCGGAAATTCAGGATCCGGAAGACGAAGTTATTATTGAATTCTGGAAAATCAAAAGGTCAAATTGTCACGGGGGAAAACGCATCGACTTCAATCCTCAATATCTCAGCATCGGCTGAGTGAAATCGGGCGCTGTTTCCCTCATTCTCAAGCTATTCTTTCGAGCTTCAAAACGAGCGCCGACTCATCCAAACCCCATCGCCCAGTCCCGAGATATTGACGACCCAAGAAAGTCAACTCCATCTCAAAAGGTCAAATTGTAAAAAGAGATCGCAAAAACGGCCCGACTTTAATCTCAAATATCTCCCAATCGGCAGAGTGAAATTCGACCATTTCCCCCTCATTTTGAAGCCCGAAACCCCGTCTTCAAAATGAAACCCGTCCCCCCCAAATCGCGCCATTCAGTCCCGAGCTATCGCCCCCCATCAATTTCACCTCACCTCCCCATTTCCCGCATTTCTAAATATATTTAACGCCCTGTGCACGGCATATGCCGCCGCCAACGCCGACGCATGACACAATGTTAACGTAACCCAGGCAAAAGGCGCATTTATCGCACCGCGACATTGATTTGTCCCCTACACCAACCGTTAACACGACCGTTCCATCCCACATTTTTCAAGATTTCTCCCATTTATGCTCATTCACAGGTGCCGCATTCATTCTCATCCCCCCCCCCCCCCCCCC